GGCGCGCACATCGAGATGTCGCAGCGAGTGCCTCACGCTGTAGACCGCACCGTCACAATCTCGGGGCGGCCAAGCCAAGTGAGCAGTGCCTGCAAGCTTGTTCGCGACAGCCTCCGCATTTTCAAGGACCTGGCAGCATAACTCATCCCCTACCACTATTTCATCCTCTTTTGGCATCCCAGTCGCGTTTATTTAAAAAGCTAATCAGCGGCTCTGAACAGCATCTTGGTGTACACGGGCTGGCGCTCGATCAGGAGATCCACGGCCTCCTCGACGGCCGTGCACAGACCGACAATGCGCCCATCCCACCTGGCCGCAACTGTTTCGCGAAAGTGCATTGGCGGTGGCTGCACTTCGGCCTGGCTCTTCAAAAAGATTGCTGCCGACACCTCCTTGACTTCGCGTGCGCCCTCAAACGTGACCACACCGTCGATCTGGTCAATGCGGCCCTTCATCCGGCCCTCGGCAATCATGCGCGCGCACATCAGCTCGGCGTCCTCAGCATCGACGCCCAGCACCCGGCCAAGGTTCGCAAACTTGATGTTTGTGTACAGCGACGACAACATGAATATGTTGTGCTCGCGCACCGCATGCTCGAGGGCGGTGGTTTTGCCATCGGCCAGCGGCGTCCGCTGGTGGTCTTCGAGCTGCTCGCTAAACTGCTGCAGCTCCTCGGGTCGGATCAGCCGCTTCAGCACCATCTTTTCCAGCAGCCCAAAGCAGCTCAGCGACGACGCCAGCTTTTCGCGATGCAGCGCCGTCATCACCCGCATCTTCTGCAGGCCCGCCGATGCCAACACTGCACACTTTATCGCGCGCTCGAGCGTCTCAGCCTGCTTTGCAGCATCCTTCAAGTCGGACTGTGATATTGCGTGGTACGTGGTTGCCGCCTCGATGTACTTGCGCGACAGGTCGTTGATCCGTGCCTGCACGTAGCGGTACCGGTTGATCAGCCCGACGTCGGTGACATGTGCCACCAAGGCCGCCGCCCGGCCCTGGGCCTGCATTGCCTGCTCAAACCGCCCGGCCTTTAGGAACAGTTCAATTGTCTTGATGTACATGTCGAATATCTGCGCGTTGGTGTACGACCGCTGCGACTGCTCGAACCGGATGCCCTGCAACTGCTGTGCAGCTTCTTCCCACTTCTCCTCGGACATCAGCATGTCAGCCAGCGCCCGGCGGGTCTCGATAATCACGCTTTCAAACGCCGACGTCCGCTGCTGCACCTTGGACAGCAAGTGCTCCAGCGTTGCCTGCCGCACGTCCTGCCCCAGCTCGCTGGCACTCTGGCTCATCAGCGCAATCAGCTCGCTCAGAACCGCAGTCGAGATGGTCTGTGCCACCTGCTCGTCCACACAGGCGCCGGTGATGTTGAACAGCACTCGCCGCTGCGCATCCGCATCCTGATTCTCTCGCAAATTCAGCTTGTCCAGAATAAACGCGTTCGCCGACTTTGCCGAGCTCTCGGCGGTGTCTAGTGTGTCGCTGCGGAACAGCGCCGACAGCTGTGCGGCTAGCTCTGCGGGGGTCGACATTTGTGCGTGCTGGCTAAATATAACTGTGCAAAAAAAAGAGTCGAGAGGAAGCAAAAAGCGTAGCAATGGCGCTAAGCTGGCTTTGAAGTCTTCTTTTTGTGGAGGCGATCACGTGCGCCGGTTTGCTGCTTAACCCGAGCGGTTCGACAGCTTCGACCAACGGCTCTCTGGGCGGGGAGGGGGCGAGCACCGACACCGCTCAGCGCCGGGCACGCTGGAGCCGAGGGCTAACACCGGCTGACGTCATCCCAGAATGCACCGCCCGCCAAACTTGCGCTTCAGACGACGCATCGCGGAGCCAAGCCACCCCTGCAGCAGGCAAATGTGCCTCAGCCACAAACAATCCACATGGGGGCGAGCATATATGCACCACAACAAACGGCGTCTTTGGCCCGCGCCGTCCTGTCGGACATCCAGGTTACCAGACATTCTGCCGCGTCTCGAGCCCAGCGCTCTCTTTTCTTCTCTCACCACCACTCCTCTGACAATGCTCACCTCGCCAGCCAACCCCCACCGCGTCTCGTCGCTGTCACACACCCTGCCGCCAGACCATCCCGCACTGGTGTCAATGGCTAAACGTAACAGTGTATTCTACCGCCGGCCCAAGGCCTCGTTGCAGCCGCGCCAGCAATTGCAGCCTGGCGCCCGCCGCTCTAGCCGCACATCGCTGCTCCACACGCAATCCCTCGGGCGTAGCCCTGAGACGACAAAGCGCGACTCCAGCTACAGCAGCAGATACAATGTCGGCAGACGTATTGTAGCCAAGACCGACGCTGAAGCGGAGCTACGGTACATGTTGAGCCAAGAGCTGCCATTCGCCCACTGCTTCTTTACCCCGGATACGCATGAGTTCCTATGGACCACCAGTTCAGCAAGCGCCGAACGGCCGGTTACAATAGCCGCCAAACGAACCACATGTGCGGCGGAAGCTTCAAAATACTATCCGCCGACGCCCGAGATTGTGCTGTCAATTGTCGAGAGCCTGCACATGTCTTTCCGGAGCGACATCTGCTGGGCAATCATCTCGTTTGAGCGTCGGTTGCCTAAAATCCACGACTTTATTTGGCGCCTGTTTGATGGCACCAAAGTTGACCTATGGACCGGGCTGGCCTGTCTGGTGCTGCTCAAACGGTTTCGCTGCCGGCAGCCGCAGTGCCACGACGCGCCCTACGAGGCGCCGTATACGCTGTTTCTGGGCATTTTCCTTCTGGCCGTCGAGCAGTGTGTGCGGACCGATGACCCCGAGATTTTCACACTGCCCAGCATTGCCCGCATTCTCGACACGTGGTACCAACCTAAGGATTTAATGCGCATCCGCCAGGAGACATTTTTCCAGCTTGGCTGTCGTGCATGGATCAGCAAGGAGGATATTGTCAACCATGCCGCGCACAACATGTTTGACGTGTACAACATCGACACGTCGTATCGCCACTATGAACAGCGCCAGCAGATGCGCATGCAGGTTGTGGCCGAGGAGCGCCGCAGGGAAGAGGACCGCCAGCGCCTGATTGCCCGTCTGGAGCGCTACATGTACCGCACGCCCCACGACTCCATTGGCAGCTGGAACACCAACACCATGTACTGCACCGAGTCGCGCTTTTTGTTTCGCCATCTGCCGTGGTTTCCAGGCGCAGTGACGCCCATCCACGTCACCGCCCGCTCCGAGCAGGCACGTCTATATGTCAAGGACAAACCGCACGGACTGGTATTTAGCCCGCTTCTGCCCGCACTACGCTCGCGCGTGTCAGGCACTGCCAATTAAACACGTTGCTTTGTTATCTTGTACTAAAAAAGTGTCAATTTTTGTTTAATCTAGAGTATTGACATCGTGTTAGCTTAAAAACGGCAAACAAAAATGTAGCAGCAACCAAGACTGCAAAAAAAATTCCGCAACGGGGAATTGAACCCCGGCCGTCACGGTGAGAGCGTGAAATCCTAGCCACTGGACCATTGCGGATGTTAGCCACAAACAGCGCCAAGCACTGGTGCAGTAAGC